CTCTCTCTCTCTCTCTCTCTCTCTCTCTCTCTCTCTCTCTCTCTCTCTCTCTTCCACTCTCTCTGAAAAGCAATGGAAAAGGGTATCCTCAGGTAAGGATTAATAAAATAAAATAAAATAAAATGTATGGGAATAAAGAATGAGAGAGAAGACAGACAGATAGTTCTCTCAAGAAGCTCAGCTATAAGGAGAAGGAGATGTAGGTTCATCAAAAGAGGAATCAAGAGAAGATTATTGTGTCTATGTTGCATTCTTGTGACACAGGACAAAGAGTGAAAAGTGCCATCTGTTTTTTTTAAGTTTGTAATTGCTGAGCTTGGCAAGAGCATATTCATCGCTGTGGTGGAGAGCAAACAGAAAGGATGAGTCAGTAACAAAACTTCTGATAAATTTGAAGAAGCCAGAAGTTCCATGGATGAAAACAATAAGCTGAAATAACAGATAGTATGAACCTCATAAGGTGTGCTTTTTTCACAGAGGTTGTAAAGACTAACAGTCTCAAAGTGACATTGGGGAGAAAGAATTCCAACCACCATTTCCATCCCTGAAGTCCTTAGGATGTGGTCATGTTGCCCATCCCCCATATAAGAGGCAGGGCTAGTGGAGAACTGGTCCGATCCTTGTTCATCTACCATGGAAAAGGCGAACCATGGGAAGAACAGAGAGAGGTGTGAGCATTAAAAGATTGAGTCTGGAAGATAAAACTGAGTAGTTGGACAAAAGAGAATGAAGAAGGGGAGAGACCTTTACCCTCTGGGCTACTGCAGAGGATGGCTGGATTAGAGTGCTATGATGTAAAGTTGTTTCTCTTGGGGAGCTGGTTAAAACCCACCTGGAGCAGCTATAAGTGGCTTGACCTATGGAAGCTGAGTTCTGTGCGGGTCAAAAGCTGGATATGCTAGTAGTGGTGAGCTTCGTCTGCCAGCACCTTCTGTGACCTCACACCCTCTAGTTGGAGAGAGCAGCTTCCTGCAGTGAGGTGCCAACAGGCCTCCTGTTAAAGTCTGAATTAACTGACTTCCTAAAGGAATCCCAGCCCAGGTGAATGGGCTAAAGAACCCTTCCTGGGAACTGGAAACAGTGGTTTCCTACAGGAGATAATTGGTCTAAGGCCTAGCAAAGGATTATGACTCAACAAGAGTTCAATTCTTCTTGACTGACTAGAGGGATAAAGTAGGTCTACACATAACATTGAATTATTTTATTCTGTTCCAGGAATGGTTAATCTCACTAACACTTGGAAGCCCAGGTATATGCAGTAAGTGCTGGAAAAACCAGAAATCTATATTAAATATACACACATCGCCTGCTTTTGAGGTGCGGGGCTTCCATTTCCATTTAATCTGCATCAAAAGGCTGTAACAGATTGGATGACTAAAATCTTAGTGGCTAATCTGAATCAATCAGATGTTGCAGTGAAGAAATAATATGTAGGAACACCTCCTTATTAAAGCAAACAAACAAACAAACAAACAAGCAAAAAGCCCAAAACTGAATTATATGAAGAAACCCTATTTTCTCGATTATAAATAAATAAATAAATAAATAAATAGTCAAAATTTGAGATTCATGAAATTTGTTACTGAAGTGATGTTCACAAAGTCCTTAGTAAAAAATTTTTCCTTTTGTTCTGCCAATAACAAGAGAAATTAAACTTATTTACAGCAAATTGGAGACATATTTGCTGGACATTAAGCTGCAGCATGATTGCACTGATACCTTTGTGATCCTGAAAGACAGAATTGAGGCCAAATATTAAATTCACTTATATATGTTGTCGCAGTCTGAATGTTTGTGTCTCCCCAAAATTCATATGTTGAAATCCTAATCCCCAATGTGATGGTATTAGGAGTTGAGGCATTTGGGAGGTGATTAGGTCACGAGGGTGGAGCCCTCATGAATGAGATTAGTGCCCTTCTAAAAAGTACCCAGAGAGCTTCCTGCCCCTTCCATTATGTGAGGATACAATGTGAAGATGGTATCTGTAAACCAGGAAGAATTCCTCACCAGACACTGAATCTGCCCAGCTCCTTGATCTTGGACTTACCACCATCAAAAATTGTGATTCCTCACAGTTTTTGTTGTATATAACCCACCCAGTTTATGACATTTTTGTTATAGCAGCTCGAACAGGCTAAGACACATGTCAATGAGCATTTCAAGAGACAAACACACGTTTCCTCACACTCTTCAAAATGTCGTGGTAGCTTCTCCGCTAGATTTTTCAGAAAAAATGTTTTTGAAAATCTTTGTTATGATCAGAGAACTTTATCTACTGAAACCTCACACTGCAAAGAGGAAAGAAGAAAGGTAATTGGAAGGCCAGCTTTTGCTGGGATAGTAATGAAGGCAGAAGGGACCGGGGGCCCGTTTCCTAACAGTAGGAACTGTGAATGAAGAAAAGCTCTTGAAGGGATCCCCGAACGTAGGCAGCGCAAATTGAAAGTCACAAAAGACATACCGTCTGTGTTGACTGTCATGAATCATGCTTTTTACAAGCTGCTTCTTTGGTAAATTCACTAATAAATTTATCTCTCTCAAACTGGTCTGCCTTCTCCTTCCCTGGCCAGAAAGCAAGGTAAATAGACACAGTTCCCTGACCACTAAGGGTCAGTCCCTAGAGATTGATCCAAAGCAGTAAGTCACACTTACTTCCGTGCTCAATGTGGGGGCTCAGGAGAAGAGATTTGCCCTGTCACCTGGCCTGCCAACCCACGCACCCACCCACCCACTCACCCACCCAACTTCTGGCTCAAATTCATCTTATAATAATTATCACGACATTTCCCATTTTAGACTCAGATTTTTAAATGATGTCCATGTCTTAACATCCATGTCTAAAAACACACAAATACTTACCTCTCTTAGAGGTCTTTGAATGTCTTAACAACAAATAATTAATGAAAAATAAGGCTCTGAGACTGCATCTTAATGGCAGAGTCCATTAGAGATTTTGCCTTTCTTACCTGGCTTCGAGAAGTGTCAAAGTACTGCCTGGTGAGAGCCAAGATATCTTCTGTCTCGTTCTGTGAAAGGAAGTGGGAGTCTTCATCCTGCCTGAGGCTTAGGAGGCTGTGCAGGTAAAATGCATACTCCTTATTTCTCATGCTGAGCTTTGAAGAGCAGACCTCCTCCCTGTGAATAATATAATAGAGGAGAAGAAGGGAAACTCTCTGGACCACTTCCTCTCTGAGCTGGTCTTCGAAATCTCCTCCAGCTATTAGCAACAGGGCATCTGGTTCAAAGCACTGGGCAAAAAAAAAGGGCAAAAACCAAAGACAAAAACAGAAACAAAGGTTAACAAATAGTCCCAGGACACTAATGACCACAGTTTCCACTGTTTATAACTGTATCAGTAGGAGGGGAAAGTGGGAAGGCCCAATAGTCAGATCCAAAGAAGAAACTCATGGTTGGATGTTTATGTAACGATGATGTCCCCCCCAGAAAGTCCTTATTCCCTAAGAGTAGTCTCTCTTTCTCCAGCTACAGTGCCACAAGTTGTCCATTTGATACCTTGAATTAAACAAGCTCTTTGCCTTTGAAAACAATGCCCCATTGCATTTAGGATGAAACCCAAGCTCCTTATAATTTTCTCCTTTGTCTGTCTGGCTCCTGCCTATCTCACTTCCCCTACCTTATATTAACTTCTCTCTACCTTTCTCACCAAGCTTCTGCCTCTGTGATTTTTCTGTCAATTCACCAAGCTCTTTCCCACCATCTCTCAGGTTGTCTTGTTCCCCTCGCTTCTCTGGTCTCAGCTTAAAGTGCCACCCTCTCATAGATGTCTCCAGCACACACTGTCCGAAGCTGAAAACCCCTCGGCAATCCTGTGTTCTCCAGCACAGCGCTGTTCAATAGAAACAGAATGCAAGCCACAGATATGAGCCACACACGTCATTTCAAATTTTCTAGTAGCCACATTTTAAAAAGTAAAAGGGAACTGGTAAAATTAATTTTCGTAATATATTTTATTGAAATTTCTATGTGTAACTGAGTCATTTCAACATGTAACTAAAAATTTTTTTAAATTATTAATGAGCTATTTGGCATTCTTTTATCATGCTAAGTCTTTGACATGTATTCTGAAGTGACCAGTATATGACAATACAAATGAGCCACATATCAAGTGCCCAAGAGCCACATGCAGCTGGTGGCAAACCTGGCACACAGCATTTTTTATTTTCTTCATAGCACTAGGATTCTAAAATTACATTATCTTCTTGTTTTTCCCCCCTTTCCCCTTGATGGCAATTGTTGCGTTAAGTCTGGACTTTGTCTGCTTTGTGCACAGTTCAGCCTCAGCATCTAGCACAATGCCTGGCACTTAGAAGGTGAAAATGGAATTTATGAATGCCATCTGCCTTTTATCCTACCTAAGAGTATTGCTAAAAATGTTTCCATGATGCTTTATTCATTTCATGGCCTATACATAGACACCTGGCTCATTTAATCTGGCAAAAGGTTTTTGGGGTAATGTGACGGAACATTGAGGAAAAAGATAGACCTAGAGGTTGTTGAGGGGAAGCTTTCCCAGCAAGACAGGGGCTGCCTTTCCTGAGACAGTTGGGGAGCTCCTGAGAATTCCCCCAGGATCCCAGAAGCAGCCCATTACAGGGCACCAGCCTCAGACTGAAGGCATCAAGGGATACAAGGCCTGAGCCCCAGAGGAATTTGCCCCACTGTGGGACAGTTTATTATATCTTTTTTTTAATTGAGGTATAATTGACATATAACATATTAGTTTCAGGTATATAACAATAATGTTTCAATATTTGTATATATTGCACAGTGATCACCACATTATATCCCCAAGACTTATAACTGGAAGGTTGTACCATTGACCACCTTCACCCATTCTGCCCACTCCCTCACTATAATTACAGTATCATATTACTACAATATATATTTTTTAAATCCTCGCCAGAGGACATGCTTAGAGAGAGGAAGGGGAAGAGAGAGAGTGGGGGGGGGGGACATCGATGTGAGAAAGAAACATCAATTGGTTGCTTTCCATATGTGCCCCAACTAGGGACTGAACTGGCAACCTTTCGGTGCACAAGACGACACTCAACCAACTGAGCCACTCTGACCAGGCTACTACAATAGCTTTTAATCTATTCTCTGAGGTGGCAGTTTGGGTGGTTCTAATCCCATGCCTGCTGTGCCTCCCACTGGTAACATCTGATATAAAGTGTCTGAGTCACAAAGAAACATGTCAGCCATCTCCAAAGGAAAGCATTAATCACACCTTCACTAGCCACAGACTCCACTCTCTCCCCAGCTCAACTGCAAGGGACTAGAACTCAGCAAACAGAGGGACAGGCTTCCCAACAAGACCAACTCTTCAGATGAATATTAAGCTTCATCACTGAAACCGCACGGTGGTTCTCTTCCTGATGTAGGCCACGAGAACAGTCCATGGGTTGGTTGCTGTTGGCACGGATCACACCAAGACCCATGGAGGTGAATCAGTGGAAACAGGTGTAATAAAGACATTCTTTTTACCAAATAACCTGAAACCAAACTATTGATGGTATTAGCTACCAGTTATTAGAAGCCATGTGTCCAAGACAGTGCTAAGCACTTATGTATCTAGGCACTGCTCAGTGTATAAGTCTAATTGGTTCTGGAAAAGGTGTCAGGTATTACTTTTTTGGATGGTGGGGACTTCATTTCATTATTTTAAACAAAACAAAACAAAACAAAATCCCCACAGTCTATGTAAAAATCCACCAAATATTTCTGCGTAGAGTAAAGCACTTAGAATACCAATTCCCCAGTTACTTAATGCATAATGAATTAGTGGGTACATTTATATGCAGTATGCAAGGATACTACACAGAATCAAGTATAAATTATGTTTTCCATCTGAGGGAGGTATACCTACAACATATGTAAAAACTAAGTGTAAGAGAGGGTAAGTAACATACCTAAAGCCACACAGCTAATAGCACCTGCCCAGTCTTAATTCCTGCTCTGCTGATGATAGATTTTATTCCATTGTTTTGTGCCATGGAGAAGATAAGCTGTGGACCCACCACCTACCTACTTGCTATGCAGCCCCTCACCCAATAATTTTCTCTCCCTCCTGTTTAGTAGGAAGAAATTTGGTCAATGAAATGGCTAGCAGATTGGTAAGGCTCTAATTTCTATTAATGAGAATAATTTACAACCGGAGGGTTGAATGAGGTCATGTTCACAGACTTCCAAGTGCTGTTCAGGCTGTTCAGGGCCGGGTAGGTAGGATGAAGAACATCCAGAGCATGAGGAACAGGACCTCCAGGAGGCCCTCAGACCATGCCCCTGTGGCCAGGGCCTGGTTGGCAGCACACAGTGTGTGTGTCCATCCATCATCCCAGCCGAGGTGCCTGAGGCCCTGTCCACTTGAGCTCCTCCTCAGTGCTCTTGCTTTGTGTATTTACAGGGCTGGAATAGGAGGGGTGTGACCTGGGGCAGCAGAGAATAGGGTAAGGTCTATAACCCTGCAGACGTTCACTCCAGAAATGGTTTATGAAAAGCATACGACTTGGAAAGTAAATCGGTTTATGACCTAAAAGTTTTAAATAGCTATGGAAGCAGCTCATTTTGTCTGACTAGAGCTTTTGGTCATCTTGAATAAACAGATGCCGTCTACCCCTTTTTTAAGCCCGCTGAAAGGAAGCTTGACTTTGAATCAAATAACTATGGGCTGAAAACGTTGTGCTCTTTTGTGATATTTGAATCTTAAACAAGTTCCCTTAATTCAGAAGGTAATGGCTTGAGGAAAGGAGTCTGTAGGGAGCATCAGAAGGGCTAATGTAAGAAAATGTGAATTTCCAGCCTGTGCAGGGTAGCTTAGTGGTTGAGCATAGACCTAGTATCCAGGAGATCCCGGTTCGATTCCCGGTCAGGGCACATGCTCAGGCTGCGGGCTCGATCCCCAGTTGGGGGGTGTGCAGGAGGCAGCCGATCAATGGCTCTCTCATCATTGATGTTTCTATCTCTCTCTCCCTCCCCTTTCTCTCTCTGAAATCAGTGAAGATATATTTAAAAATAAATAATAAAAGATTGAAATCACTTTGGCGTTGGGGAACATTAAAATGTACTATAAAAAAAGAAAAGAAAATGTGAATTTCCTTCTGAGCATGGATGTGACAAAAAACACTGTGGGGAGGGGAGTCGTGGGGGGACTGGAATTGTCAGTTCATCACCACAAGTTTTAGCTGTTACATTTTTTCAGTGGCTCAGTTGAGTTTTGTAAAAGATGTTTAGTAAAATTTTGCAAACACTGGCACCCCATAGGCATCAAGATCTGTCCAAAGCTCTGACTCCAGTGAAATAACTCTGTTAAAGGAGAATGAATTCCTTCAGGAATAATCCATTGATTTTTCTTTTAATGTTATCAGGTGGAGGCGTAAGGTGTAGGGGGGATAACAGATTCTGGGAATTAGTTTTAAAAATTGCCCAAACTTTGGGAAAAGACTGGTTAAGATGTGAGAAGCCCTCCTTACTAAGCTAAATGGACTACTCAGATATTGGGCAGTTATTTTCTGCAGCACTCTGGAGCCCAATCAGACTGCCTTCCCCTAACTCGGCTTCGTTCATTGTTTATGTCTGCCAGGTAAAGCCTCGGACGAAAAGCTACATGAACAAAGCAGTTGTCAGACCTGCAGGATCAACTTTAAGGGTTTTAGGCTGAAAGATATTTAGAATTTGATTTGGAATTATGACTAAACCTACTAACCTCTTTTAAATTCTTTAGATTTTTATAAGGTGGTGTTTTTTAGAGGGGTAGGGCGATGCTAACAATTGACTATAAAATACAAGAGGGAAGTTGTATTTCTCTTTATTCCTCCCAAACAGAGATCAGAAAGGATGTCAGCTGATGGCAGGCACCAGCTTTGTGTGGGTCTGTTCTAGATTTAGTGGCATTTCTCACTGACAAAAAGAAAAGTCTTAACTGAGAAGAATTAAGATAAACTTGTTAGGTAAACAAGATAAAGCTTGATGCTTTTCACACTTTTCACTCAACAGTTAGATAAATGGAGGGAGGGGTGTGAATTAAATGCAGATCCGTAAAGAATCTGTTCCCTGAATTGGTCTGAGAATAGCCTGGAGATTTTGGTTAGAAACTCCAAGCTCCAGGGACAGTTGAGGGGGGCTGGGGACCAGCAGGAGAGGGGTGTTGAGGCATGTCTCATTTCTCAGCAGCACTGTAGGTAACCCACAAACACTGCTCCAGTGTCCCTGGGACAGGGGGATGGGACATTTCCATGAGGTACAGGAAATGTCAGGGGGCAGGGAAAGCCTGAGCTCCTGTGTCCAAGCTCCTTCCTACATGGCCATGTGGTCCCCACAGAAAGCAGCCCGAGGAAGGAAACACCACCTCGGTCCCTGGTCCTACAGGTGAGGAAGCTGAGGTTCTGCATGTCCCGACAGCTGGAAGGTGCCAGATCATTGCTAGCTGGCTCAGACACCACCAGGTTCCTTTCCCTTCGCTGCACCTGGAACCCATGTAGGGTCACGGTTTTCATTATTACTGAAGTGGAACTTATTCTTTTGGAGTTACTTAATCCCTCATTAAATTCATCAAAACTCCATTCTGACCCTTCTCATTAAAAAAAGAAAAAGCCACAATCAGGCAAGACTATCCATTTTCAAAGGCTGCAGCTTGAATAAATTCATTTTTAAATGCACAGTGCTCTCAAATGCTTCAGTTTCTCTTTTAAAAGTATTCAATCTGTACCTAGGCCTGAAGTAAAATTGGGAACACTGTTTTCCTCCCCACTTTCCTCTTTTTTCAGATATTTGGGAAAATAAACTCACCCTTTTGCCTTTTTTTTTTTAGCACAAAATTTCTAATATGAATGTTTCCTCTCAGTGGACAAACTCCCTAAAAAGACCAAAAAAATTCAATGACAACTGATTCCTGTGATTTGCACCAGGATGTGGATGTTTGTGAAATCAACAGACACTGTTTCTCCCTGACTTATTATTAAGAATGACACGGGGAGATTTCGTGGCTCCTTCAAATGAACTGTAGCCCCCTGAGAAGATTAATCTGAAATTCATCTTTTTTTTTTTTAACCTCAGTCTCATCCAAAGAGAAATAGCAGCAGCAAGAGAGCAGAACTATTAGAGACAGTGTTTTACTTCCTAGAAATGGAACTAATTCAAACGGAAGCTAACTTAGCCAAACTCTCAATAATGTCACAGGAACCAAAAAGTGCAAAATGATTTTGCATGTTGACATTCCCCCTAGCTAAACTAATATTCAACCAGCCTTAATAAGGCATGTCATCATTAGAGAACATTTCCCTGAAGCAAAGTCTCAGAGGAATTTAATAAGATATGACTCCTACTTATTTCCAGTGGGAAGTCTTATGTTGCTATATATATAAATTAATGTCATCACAGATGAGTTGCCTATTAGAACACATGTTTTCTCTGGGAGCCCTTGGGAATAGTATAATTATTGAATTATTTATTGTTTGCACAGAGCAGAGAAAAATTCTATGAGCAAGACTGTTCTGTCATGAAAAACAAAGCACTTGGCAGAAATATTTCCCCGAGAACCAAGTAGGATTGAGAAAGTCTGCCAAAATTTACTTTGGGGGGCAGTTATTTGCTTCTCTTATTGATTGTTTGGCATCTTCACTTATTTATTTATTTGCCAGTTCATTTGGAAGAATCTCATCAGTCAGGAAAGGAATGGTGATTCATGTTTTTGTTCGTGGTTATTTTAAGACATGGGTCTTGCTCTTGTCAATTCCTCCACCACTCCACCCACCTACCCTAGTAGGGACATTTTGAGCTCACACTAATGCTGATTTTACATTAAAGTAGCCTGCAGAAATTCTTTAAAATTCCATCGTATGCAAATTCAATCTCAATCTCTAGAAGAGGAAACCCCACAGGGGTATTTTGTGAAATCTGCCCCGGTCACACTGGTGTAAATCCAGGGTTTGAGTCACTTGCTAGACTAAGAGAAGGCTGGGAATTGGACCTCAGGTGCCCTAGGCCTCATTTTAGCTTCATACATGGTACTTCTATTCCCCAGCTCAGATTCTGTATTTTTAAGAAGATGATTATCCAGTTCATTACCCACCATGCAAAATATTAGAAAATGCTAATTGATATCCAGGAAAAAGTACTTAAAAATTCAACATGAGACAGAGAGCATCTATCTAACCAATGATGTACAAGTTCACTGCAAACTCACAAAAGGGATTAGTAAATCAGAAAGAACAGAGAACTGAACACACTCACAAACCAATACTTCCCAGCCTGCTGGAGGATTCTAGAAATGCTTACATAAACATTGCCATTTTAATAAAAAAGAAAAGTCTCCCTGTCTTTAAATGCTCTAGGCAGAACGCTGAATGACTTTTTGTCTCCCAAATGGGGGGGGGAGTATTACGTTACAGTGCACTGTGCACTTGGTTTCTGGAAGGTTCCCGTTGACTGTAATTTACAGAAGGGGCTAGGGAATCCATTGCTCCCTTTTGCACATGCCCTGGTACCTGATCCCATTCTATGGCACTAACCAGACTGCAGCCTCCTTGCATTCCATTTGTCCTCCTTGGGCAGCCAGTTTTCTCCAACAATGTTTTGATGAGGCTTCTTGAGTGGTTCAGGGGTGGGTGGTCGCCAGCAGAGAGAACTCGGAGTACTTCTGTCAGTTGGCCAGGACTCCAAGTGCCGCTGCTGTCCTGCGTGGAGGGATTTTCTGTCTCAGTAGAGGGAACAAGGCTGAAGAGAAGGAACAGTGGCAGCCAGAATGCTGAGAGCCTTGTCCAAAAGCACATTTCCACTCTTTTTTTACCTGGAGTCAGTCTTTGATGGCGTAGGTGGGTTAGTGTTCACGGTGTGAACTTGTAACCAGAGGAATTTCTGTTTCAAAGGGCAAAATAAGGCTTTAATTATTATGCCTACAACATGTTTGAAAAGATTCATTAATTGGGTGGCTAAGCTGATTTGCAATGACAAGCTGTTTCTGAACAATGGGGGGTCGGGTCTGTAGGTCATTTCTGACCCCAAACACCAGTAAACTATCGTGGTTGTAGACTTTCAAACTGTAGGAAAGTCAAGAATTTTGTTATAGTGCCTCTCTCTGAACTAAACCTAGAGTTAAAAATTAAGAAAATAAGTTTCTCTGTTCATTCTGCAGGTGGTATAAGTCTTAGGACCCGGGACAAGAAACACCCTCATTTTATCTCCTTGTTAAGTAAAACTCCCAATGGTTTATGGTCCTGATCATTGAAATATGTAAATAAACTAACAAGAAAATAAATTTTTAAAAATTACCAATGTCATGTAGAATGAGAAGATTTTAGGCAAAGAAGGGTGCTAGAAGAAAAATCGTAACATTCAGAAAATACTGGTCAGTTTTTAGGTTTTAGTTTATTAAAAGTACAAACAATCTTTAAAAAAAAAAAAAAAGAGTTTCAAATCTGAATGAGCCATAATAAATCCACATACTCTGTGGTCATTAAAGGGGTGAGGGGACAACTTTAGAGCCAATCAGCTTTCTGGAAAAAATTAATCTCTTCAAACAACTGCTTAAGAAATGAAAAATGTTAATAGCATCTCATGGCAGATCTTGGCCCAGAGATGAGCTAGTAATGACTGTGGGATAGGAACAAAGATACTGGGATTACTTTTGCGGTTTAAAAAAGTGGTGGGGGTGGTTAAGATTCTTAGGTTAGCATTTAAAAAATGACAGAGGAGGATACAAATATTGCTAAATCAAGTACTTACCTTCGGACGAAAGGCAAATGGTTATTTATCTGGAGCTTTGCAGCCTTTTAAATCTCAGAGAGTATTTTGTGGTTACAAAGTCCTCTGTTTTTAAAATTCCTTGACTGTGTGCTGGGAGCTAGAAAGGATTATTTCAGCCCAGTGAAGTTTTCAGTTGCTATGGAGAGAGCTGCTCTGAAGGTAACAATGAAGGTGGATAAAAGTGAGAACTTTCTGTCTGGCAGGTTTTCAGGAAAATCAAATAAAAGTTGTTCAGGAACCCAACTTTTTCATATTAATATTTACTGATTTTCTGAGAGTCATCTACAGTCACTCGCCTTTTAAGGGGCAGATCTGAGTCAAAGGATTTCACCTTGCAGAATGGAAAGCTTTTAGTATCATATTAATATTTTTTTCCTTCCAGTTGGTTCTGTGATAACTATTTCATCCACACTCCAACCAAGGACTTGTTAAAAAGATAGGCTATTTAGAATCTTATTTATTTTACAAGGTGCAGAAGTTTAAAAGATCTAACGTGGTTGTAAATTTGTAAGTAGATATTTTCAAATGAGAAGAAAAGCATTTGTTTCAAGAATAAAATTCTTACCTGTGAAGTAAGTGCATGTGAGGGGGAACTTTAGTCAGCTGTGTATGTTATGATCTCAAAGTCTACAGTAGAACTGACTACATAGTGCCTTTCAGGTTCTGTAAAATAGACTCTCAATAAATTATTAGTGAATAAATGGCTGAAAGAACAAAGTGGTAAACTTTACGGAAGGTAAGAGAAGTTAAAATGGACTTTCAAAGAGTACACATAATGGCACAAAGTATATAGAAACACAAAGTGACTCTGCAGAATGGAGCAGATGGATAGAAACTTCTGAGTTCATATCCATTGGGAAGGAGTGGGGCAACTGGTGAGGAGACAGATGAAAGGACAAGAGAAGGAAGTTGGGATAATTAGTTCCCTCAATCACTAATTGGATATGAAAAGTGGGAACAATTGGGTGAGATAATCCTAAAAGAATGCTGGTAAAATTGATAAAAATATGGGTGACACAAATGCTCCAGGAAAATGCCTGGCTTCTCTTTAATTCCATATCACAGAGCATTTGGATTCATCTAAAATGTCACGGGAAGGGACTTGGCCTGTGGTAATGAAAGCAAATGTAATTCAGGCTGCCTGCCACAATGAAAGCCAAACTTGTGAGACAGGTGCCATTGAGAAGGAAAGAGGTTTATTCAAGTGCCAGCCACCTGAGAAGATGGGGGACCCTTGTCCCAAAGTCCATCTTTACAACTCAGTGCAGGCAGGGGTTTTTATCAGGAAGGTCAGGGAAAGCAGAACAAAGAAATCAGGGGGAGGGGCTGTGGATGTGCAGGCAGTGTTCTTGCTGGTCAAGATACAGATCTTTAATGTCAGCTGAAGTCTTGTATTCAAGTCACCCTAGGCCCAGGCAAGATTCAGAACAGCCGGTTTCTGCAATATGCTCAAAAAAACCAAAACAAAAAACAAATCCCAAAGTTTGTTAGTGATTAATGGCAGGCACGACTAACCTGGCCTTTGTTTTAAGGTATACATCCTGTTTTCTGACAAAGGGAAAAGTACTGTTCATTATATGTTATTTAATCAAGGTTATTTTTCTGGTTAGCGTAAGATTTCATGTAGGATGTGCAGGATATATAGGCTATGCAGAATGTCTTCCCATAGGCCTTGATATGGATCTCTTTTGAGTTAGCCATCTGGGCTTTCTGACAGCTGAATTCCTGTTGACTGAGTGGTCAGTGTCAACTGGACCTTGAGGCCAGGCTGCTTCCTAGCTTCACACAGGAATGGAGACTCTTGAACTGTAAAGTATACTGAAGAAACTTTCAACATACGAGCTCTAGTTTTGAGAGAAAAATCAGCTTAGAATAACAAGCTGGGTTTAACATTTACTAAGATTAACATTGGTAGCTTTTATAAATTTTATAAGCTTACCTTGTTAGTTACTAAAATATTCTTATTTTAGTACTATTCTATGGCTAGTCAGACAAATATAAGTAGTATATCACATTCATTCCCTGTCACAATGAGATTAACTGGATTTGGAGTCCAGAATGGTCAGCCCAACAGAGGAGCAAGGAATTGGTCAAGACCTTCCAGCTGTAGATCCAGGGGAGACAGAGAAGTGAGGAGGGAACAGGCTCAGGACCTTGGTTCTGGAATTAGGCCCTCACTTTCTGGCCCAGCTTCAATTAACAGGTCCTAAAATTGGCCATCCCTGCCCAAGTCCCACTGTAGAACCTGCCCAGTTGCCACAGAACTAGATTCTGATTTCCTATGACCAGTACTAGCAGGGCAGTTCCTCTGCTGAGACTTTGGGACCTTTTTCCTGATTGCCCTGTGCTGATATCCATCCTGGAAGTCTCATATTTCCTGGTGTCAGATTTCCTGTAACAGGGCCCAGGGAGTCATCTCCCCCAGGAATCTTCTAACATCATTCACTAGTCTCAGGGACTACCAGCACCGCCACCATCATAACCATAAGCCCCAAAACTCCCCAAGTGAGCTTCCTCTCGTCGTCACAAGCCAGTACCTGCTCTGCTTGCCCCCACGTTGTTCCATCTTCACAGTCAAACCTACAATTCAGGCACCAACCAGGTTCCTATTCCTGTTCCAGGGGGAGACAGCAATGTGGAGGGTCAGGGAGAAGCCCCAGATACAGGCTCTGAGGCAGGCAAAGCCACGAAGGGCTGGCAGGCAAATGACAAAAAATAGGAGTAAGAAGGAAACAAAATAGCTGAACATAGCAGCAGCACCTTCTTTGCTTAACTTTGAGTTTAACTCTAACTCCAAGCACCCACCCTGCCTGTTTCCCCAGCAAGCCTGAAATCAGCCTTTCTTAAACACGGTTACTTTCGTAATCCAAACCAACTTCTGGGGGTAATGAGCTTCACATGTTAACGCACAAGCTGTGTAAAGAAGGCGCTAATTTACCCCTGATTGATACTCATATGGCAGTTAGCCTCAGATGGGAGCAGTCTCACGGGATGCAGTTTCTCCTGCCATGCAGACACTTAGTTGTGCTATCACAGGAAGATATAGTGGCTGGGAGGCAGGAGGGAAGAGGGGAGGCGGGCACTGATCAATCTGTTCTTCATTCAGTTCTGACTCTTTGCCTTTAGTTGTGCCCTGAGTTTCAAATGTCCTTCTCATGTCCATATAGTATGTTTACATATGCACCCTGCCTTGACCTAGGAAGAATTTAAAGGGGCCCACCAGGAAACATAAAATACAAGACCGTAGCAACTTAGGAAGAATTAAAACAAGGGTAGAGTCCTCTTGTGTGTATAGTTCAGGGCTGCCTGCCCTCTACAGTTTTGCAGGTTGGGCACTGTACAACTCTAGAGGTCATCATTCACTTCTATAATCATTACAGATTTATGTATTAACTTTAATTACAATGTATTAAATTGTTTATTTATTTTCCAGCAAATGTCCTGAGGAAAGGAGGCTCTGGGCTGGTGGCAGGGTTGCATGTGCTCTGTGTCTGGCCTACCCCTATGGGACCATCTCTGGCAGTAATATGAGGTCCTACAACTCATAATATGAGCTACCTCTGGGCCTAGCCTCTCTCCGTGTGCCCCTTTGCACCAACTTCTTCCCCTTTTCCAGGACACTGACCTCTCTAAATAATTATTATAAATATTTATTAACATTTTTGAGTGGTTTTTTATGCTGGGGCACTGTGCTAAGCAACTTCACGTATATTTTCTCATGTAATATCAGTTGAGCCTAATGAACTTCTCACCGTACGTTTCAGAAATACCCAGGGTCACACAGCTTATAGGTGCCACTGGAAATCTGGGCCTGTGCACATCAAAGTCGGTGCTTATACAGTAAAACCTCAATATAACGGACTATTTTGGGCTAAGGGGTGTTAGTTAAAGCCAAAAGTCTATTATATAATAAAGTAGGTTTTCCAAACGTGTACGTTAAAATACTGACAAATTAGTTTACCTGTTTTTACTTATGTAGACACATTTGTGTAATTAAAATTAAGTATGTATGTAAAGTTTAACTTCGCAGAAAAGTTTTCTATATGTATTACAGAAACTTTAAATGTATACTGAAAAGATCTAGTAAATGCGTGCACTCACCAGTCACCGTGAGTAAACAAATGCACATGGCTGAGGCGTGGCTTAGTGCGAGGAGGAACCTTGGCTGGCACACACGACACTGCTGCAGTCATGCCACGTGACGACAGAATCACTTAAGGAGTACGGTGCAATGTAATCACGTGCTAATCATTTGTAGAACATTGTTTACAAGTGGGACTCTTGGATTTAAATATATAGACTATAGTTGTAGATACGTAATATTTATTTATGTTGACGAAATTACTATAGTGTTTTTTCCAACATATGGGCTATTCACTAAAATATGTTAAAAATAACAGTGACTTAATAACAAAAAACCCTGTTAATTTAATTATAAGCAAATCTTAGTTAAAAACATTTTAAAATTAACAGGGTGTTAATTTTCACATGTGACATATGGACCGGAAATATTGTTCCTTAAATCTGAAGTTCATTAAATTGGGGTCCGCAAAATCGAGGGTTTACTGTACGACTAAGCAACTGTCAGCTGTGATGCCACCTCCCCCCCGTGTTTTTATTTGTCAGTCCAAGCCTCTTTTTACAATGCAGGGCAGGGGATACACAAAGGAATCAGCCAAGAGCCCATTATCAAGGAAATAGTTGGCTACATTTTGTTTTTTGCTGTCTCCCCAAAGCCTCTTCAGCCCAAAAATTCTCAAAGAAAAAAAAAAATTTTAAATATAGAGCTTTAAAACAAATAGAAACAGGCTCTCCTCTTCTGTGATTCTTATCAACAGGCTACTCCCTCGACATTTGAAATAAATGCTGCTCCTTCGCTAACCTGTTTTCTTAAAGGAGAAGAGAATATTCCACTGAAAAGGCAGCTCCTACAGGCAAGGGACTCATCTTCCACGTCTTCTGATTCTGTGACACGGCCAACATCACTGGATTTCCAACAGTTAGGAAATGTCAATTGTTTTAAATTTAGACCTTTAGGTTGTCTGATTTGGAAGCTGATAGTAAAAATGACTTTTAGAAAACTTTATGTGCAACTTTTAAAGAATATTTTTCTTCTCTTTATAAAAGTCATCTATGATCACTAACTTTAAAAAAAAACTGCAGAAA